TTTGAAGTGTCTGTGCTAAAAATCAGAGGAATTATTCTGTAGTCTCAAAATTTAAATAAGGAAAGAAATTTATTACTTTGTGTATGGGACTTTGAAAGGTTTAATTTAATTTAATTTAATACTTTTCTTTGTGTTTGTTTACCAAAATTTTCTTTTAAAATTATTTAAATAGTACTTTGAATATTCTGCACACCGTGAAATTCGCCATAACATTCAGAAGGAGCTTTGTCTGCATGCTTCCAAGGGACCTGTGCAGCTTCGAGAGTGCTCTTACAAAGGCCAGAAAACCTTTGCTGTTGGGGAGGAGCAGTGGCTGCACCAGAAGGTACATATCCTGTGCAGTGAAATGGCATTTCTATTAGTTAATTTTGGATTTTTAGTAAAAGCAAAAACACCAACAAGAAAAACTCTGAAGCCAAAAAAATGTAAGTTTAGTTTTGACAGGAAAATGGACATAATTTCAGCTTGTCAGTTGCAGATCAAAACTTGATTTCACTAGTAGGAATGTCACTTAAAAAACAGTTGATATCCTTTTAGTGTGTTTTTGTCTAGACATCTAGACATCCACCTGGAAGTCAATTCAGATGCTTTGTATATTTTGTACACCTGTATAGTCAGATGTTTTTAAAGTATTTTACAAAATTTTCCTAACAAAGCAAGTTGGCACTTACATACTACCTATGTATTTTCTAGCCCCCTCTACATCACCTGTATGAGCTTACTCTTTAGCACCCAGCTTGGGGGAAGAACTGTGGGGGGAACTAGCATGTCCATTGTTTGTTCACTTTTCTTTTCTTCCTTTTTTTCCTCACTTTAGGATCAAACTCTGTACAATGAAGCACTACATATGTGCCTTACAGGAAATGGAGAGCATCCGAGTTTGGCATCCTGTAATCCATTAGACCCCTTCCAGAAGTGGATCTTTGGCCAGAATGATTAATATTTGATATTACAGGCCACAAGCATTTTATTAAAAGAAAAGAACCATTCTGAACTGTGATCATATGCATATACTGGATTTTTTTGTGATAGTTCAAATGCAAAATGTTTAAACAGTTTCTTTTCCCTCTAAAGTTGGATATAAAATGTGTCATAAGAGATTCCCTGGGACTCTGGTATACCAAAGATCATTGGGATCCTGGTTATATTTTGTTTACAATATTTCTATGATAAGACTTTATATGTTGACCACTGATTTATGGATCCTGTTAGTTCTCTTATCTTAGGGGCCATATGTGGGGTTTTTTTTGACATACTGTAAGTACTTCTGAAGAGGACTTATTTTCTCTGTAGTGTCATGAGAAATTATTGTCTGCTGTCTAAAACCCAATACACTTTATATGTATGTTTTTATGCTCAAATGGCTGACTTTATTTTTTATTATGATTTACTTAGTGAAACTTTCTCAATATTTTTTTAGTTTCTTCACTTAAAAAATTAGACCATCAGGTCAAAGCCAAATAGGATACCACATTGTGCTCAGCTTCTAGGAAGTCAGTTGTTTTTTAGAAGAAAAAAGTAATTTCACTAAAATATGTATTTATGATTATTTTAATGGAAAATCTGCTTAATTGATACTAATCTTTTGTTTGGCCAAAACTTCTTGTATAGATTTTTTTATATTTCATGCACTTAAAAAATTATAATAAAGTTTTATTGTGGTAGGCTCCTGAGCTGCTTAACATTCACACATTTTTTCAGCATTCTGTTCATTACTTTTTGTAAATTACATGTTATCTCGTAAACTTCTGCCCCTACCTTCTAGTGTTTTATGCAATATTTAACTCAGAGGTTTCTAATGTTATCCATATGTAATTTCTTTTGCCAACACTTGCATATTAATTTTTTTTCTTGTTTGTTTTCCCTGTTACAAAGGACTGATCTCAGATTTATCAGTCTGAGTGAGACCTTGGCCTTCCTAACTACTCTGCTAATTATAGAAAAGAATATAGCATCAAATATATAATAATTTTTTAAAAAATTTATAAAGTGAAGACAAAAGTATTTGGCTGCATGATCAAATATAAAGCAGAGAATAAATTTGAAGGAGTGGGTATTAAAGGCCAAATAGGACAAAAATACACTAATAATAAATCTGTTCTTTTGTTCTAGTAAGTAGGTAATATCATTACAGATAAATGTTAACTTTAGTCTGGTGGATGAATGGATGATGATGTGGAGTTTTTTTTTTTTTTACTTCTGTGGTGAGGAGAGAGCCTGTTTGTAGTTTAATGGTACCTAGTTCCATTTCTGAATAAAAGCAAGTAAAATTGTTTTCAGTACTTGTAAGTCATCTAAAAGACAAAAAAGTGTATAAGCAAGGACCAATGATAATTTGCCAGAAGCTTTAATGCTAATTTATTTTTCAGGTTTGATAATGCCTTTGAGTTGTGTCTCAGCTTTTGTAAGGCTTTTGGACAACCTGCTGAGAGTATCCCAGGAAATTAAAGCTGTACAACTTAAAATAACTTGATACAGAGTGAACAGAAATTGTTGAAAAGACTGTACCAGGAAGGGTTATTTATGCCACTGAAACTGGAAGGTTGTGTAGAACAACACTGCACAAAGGTCTCCCTGCATCCTCTGATGAATATTTTAATTTGGTAATGGAATGCAAAGCATTATTACTTCTGCAGATCAAACCAATATTTGAAGGCTAGTACACACATTTGATAAAATGGGGGAATTGAGGAAGAATATAACACAGGTAAATGAGAAAATTGTTGCATATGAATGGAGGATGGGAGATTACACAGAGAGCAACTGAGTTGTGTTGAACTTGGGTATGGAATGGAAACTCAGTGTCCGAGGAACCTGTTCTAGAAGACAAGGTATTGAGCATACCAGTTTAAATGTACTTGTTCTTTTAGTTCTCAGTTCATGTTATAGAGGAAATGCATTATTTTTAATATCAGTAAAGGATCATTTCTTCATGCAACCTGTTTCTCTTGGAAGCTTGTCATATTGGGATGTGCACATATGAAACATCATTTAGCTACTCATTTAGCAGTTGGGTTTTTGCCTTTTGTTGGGGTTTTTTTTAATAGCTAACATTTCAAACAAGGGTAGAATTTCAATTGCAAGAAAACGAGTGTTCTGTTGCACTTGGAAGTAGGAACTTCTTCCTAAGCAATGTAGAGAAGCTCCACTTTGTATTTTTTGGGTTACCTGCAGGTGTAGCAATATATGTAGGGGTTTTTTGCAGAGATTAGGTATAGCAATTCACCTAGTTATTATATTTTGTATTTACTTCTAGATATAGAAAGGGAAATTAATTCTGTGATTTAAAAATGGTCTTTTAAAGATTTTCCTTTCCTTTTTTGAGACTTCTTTTCTGGTCTAACATAGGTCACTAGTACAAAATACATATTAGTATTTTGGATTAGTATCATAGTTCCTTAAACTGTGACATCTTAGTCTGTATTTTGCTGTACCTAGTACAGTAGTTGTCTTACTTGTACTCTCTACCACCTGCCAGAAAAGAAGGAAGCAGATCTATAAGCAGAGGAAAATTTTAAATTACTTTTTTTGTTCTGTTCTGTTTGGAGATGTGAAACTAACTTTTAGGTCACAGTGACTATTACACTTCCAAATATTTGTGTGTGTGTACATACATACATAGGCATCATATAATACTAGGAGAGCAGTAAGAGATCTGTAAATATGACTGGAGGTTTACGAAGTTGGATTTTGGGGATTTTTTTTTTAGCTAATAAAAAAGTAGCATCATCTTCTGGCTGTTGATAATGTTCTCTTGAAAGTGGCTAATAGTTTTTAATAATTAGAAAGGCTTGCTGAACAGCAGTTTGTTGCAGGGAGATTCTCTGGCTCTTTTATGTCTTTTGGTGTTTTTTAAGCCAGTTTCAGTAAGGTTATAATGCCCTTCTCTGTCCCTATGAAGGGGACAAAGGTGAAGAGTATTCCATACACAGCATGTAAAAATTGCTACTTCCATCAGATGGATATATGAAGTGCTGAAGGTTACTAGAACTGCTGGCATCAGTGTTAACCTCCATCTCACTGCTCTCTTACACATCCAGGGAGTAATCCCAGGTGCTGACGAAGGCTTGACTTCAGGCCAGGCCAGCTCAGCCACGCTCACAGCAGGACAAAGCAGCTCCTAAACCTTTTGGGACTTCAGGGGCGGTGGCTCCGGGTGCCACTGCCTGTGAACAAGGGGTCCCTGCTGGTTGCTTGTGGCTCCACTTGGTTATGACACCTTTCACTGCAGTGGGAATTTGCCAGCCCACCATACCTGAGGATTTTTTTTATCACTCATGGGAGCAATTGCTGCTTTACTCCAGGGTGAGTATAGAATAACGTGAGTACTATCAACAGATCAACCTACAAGGAACCTTAAGAGTTACATCCTCCTACTGCTGAAGGGGCATCCTGGGATCTTGCATTAGAACCAGTGTTGAAAGATGTTTTATGTTTGATTGGATCAGTATGGCTTAGCAAGCCCTGGAGCAGCCCTTTTAGCCACAGTTCACAGCAATGCCAAAAGCAGTCTAATAGCAAATATGGGACTCCCAACAGACTACAACCAAGGGATACCCTAATTCCTGTGAGAACTTTCTTATAATCTAGAGCACAACCTCTCATCTTTATAGGGGTTTTTTTAATACAAACAATTTAGCTATATGTAATTTATCATATAAGCAAACTTAAGGACAACTTATTTTTTATAAATGTGCATTGCAGTTTGAAGATAGCAGAGATTGTGCAGTGATTGTTAATTATTTTCTTAATGAAGCTATGTTGATCGTCAATTTTCAAAATAAGCAGCTGTCCTGAAATTTAGCAGTATTCTTTGAATGCTGTCATTGAAATGATCTGATGTGTAAAATTACTGCAAATTGTCCACCAGAGAGAGCTGTTGCAAAATTTTATTCCAACAGCTGTTGAAAACAATTGTTTCATTACCTTATTATGAATCAGGTACAGTATTCCCCTGGCCACGGAAAATTGTAGGCAGTAGTATCATTAAAGGGCAAATGGATATACCTAAGAAGGCATTTCTGTTTATTTAATTTAATTGCCATACAAATATTTAGAAACAAAAGAACACACACACAGAAATTCCACACAAACTGCTTCTCCTTATTCTATCAGACTATCAGGAATGGGAGAAATGGTTGAAATTTCACAGAGTGCCTTTGGAGGCTCTGCAGGTGTCAGGGAGGAGGTGCAGTACTGATGCCAGCTCTCAGCTGAGAGAGGCTCTCTAGTGACTGCAGAGCAGAAATGAGACGCACAATGCACTGGCAGCCAGGATGTAACGTAGAAACCTGGTTTACTTCATTGCAAACAAATGGACAATATATATTGTACAATATATAATAAAAATACAGCTGATACAAGTGCCACTAATTAACAAAAAAACTAATATTAAGACTTAAAAATGCTCATTTTTGTAATATATACACTGCAGTAATAAGCCACAATAAATACATCAAATTTCATATCATTCATAATAAATACGGAAAATATAAATACAGAAGAATACAGTTAATTTGAATAAATTATTACAACATAAGATCTAGGTTAAGTTCTGTTGAATATTATTGTAGCTTATATTACCCTTTGGCATCTTTGATGTTACAACTTGTTTAAAAAAAGGAAATTAAGGAAATGTGTAGTTCATGAAGCTTAAAATTATTTCCATATACAGATTTTAAGATGAACTTTCTTTCCCTTTGCTTCTTCAAACAGTTTAAAAGCAGCAGTCCAAATAAATATCTTGCTTAACTGTTGAGACCTCCATAATTTTAGTATGCAAGATCATCTGTAATGGAAAATGTTAAGTACGTAACAATTACTTTTCTCCGAAATTAGTAATGTTAGAAGTAATGTAGAAATTTTAAACTAATGGCTGCAATTACACATTTTTACTAGTCCCATTTTAACGGATTACCTGTCTGAAAGACAATCAACTTAAGTGCTTTTGAGTTTATGCCATGGTGTATGTACTATTTACCACTTGCCAACAAAATTTTCAAAAGCAATTTTATATTCTTGTGGGGAAATATATATATGTATGTATACAGTGAGAGAGATGAACCTGCTAAAAGACAGGGATGGACTAGACAGTGTGAATGTTAATATAGTCTGTTAAAACACTTTAAACATATAAAAGGCAATGTGTTTTTTACAAAATTTCTATTAGTTGGAGATTGAAACTAATCAAAAGAACCAACTGTCATGTTTTATGTTAATAGGTATTAACAAGTACATTTGTATTAATAATTTTATTTGTAAAAGTTTATTACACCAGAATGCAATGGAACTTAAAAGATCAACTTTACTAAGACAATATTACAGGCTGAGGATCTTAGGAACAGTTTTGTAATCTACAGATTTTGACTATTTTTGCACTGTTAAATGTCTAGCGCTTATTTGACATCAAACACATTTTAAACATATTTCACAAACTACACTTCAGACATATTTCCATAGAAGTGCCTACAATCAAGTCAGTTAAGAGAAGTGCCCAGTTATTAAGTCTTGTTTACATGGGCATTTGAGACCTGAAGTTGTGGTATTTGTGTGAAATGGCTTGGAAAAAACCAGCATGCTTGCTTCTGGTTTTAAGAGAACCAGCTGCCAGTGCACATCATGATCTTTTCAAGAAGCTGAAAACTGGTGCTGAATCTATATCTGAGACTCACAAATGGTTCTTTACAGTGATCCCCCCCATTACCCCAGCAAGGTTAACTTTCATCCAAAATCCAACCCAAAATTTCATTCTTAAGAATGTATTTTAGAAGTTTAAGATGGAGAAACCTAAAATAATGACCTGCCATAATGTTAAGCCTCATTTGAAAATGCCAAGATAAAATGCTGATAAAAGGACATTTTGTCTTTGCTTTTAGCACCTCTTGCTAGCTGAGAAACTGGGTATACAAGAACAGGTGCCTGGGAGCAGAGTTAACTAAGATGATTTTTGAACTTGTCTTTGAAACTGCCATCAGCAAAGAGTGACATAGCAGCAATGCTTCTAGGGTGTTTCTTTTTTGCTTTTTTACCCCATGGATTTGGATAAGTCTTTTATTTAATGGCCACCTCTATAACTCTGGTCTGGAAAAAATGCCAGTTCCTATTTCCACTGAGTTCATGTCTGGTTACAATATATTAAATTACAGAAACAATATTTCAATCTAACATGGGCAAGTTTGTAGTGAATGTCCATATACTTTACCATCCTTGCTCTGAAGAGATCGTAATTCACCTTTTTCCTTCTGTTGGTTTTTTCCTAATATACTTTATTTTTTCTTTAATAGGAAAAATAATCCTTATCAATCTGCCTCTTGACTTCATCTTTTTTTTTTCCTCTAAATTGTTCTTTCTATCCTCCCTGCACTCACTCAAGTGTTTGAAGACAAAGGATTATCTTGATCCTTTTATTAGAACACTGATGCACATTTGTATCTTCCACCATTTTCCCTGTCAAGAAAAGCCAATCCCATCTTCATGGTGTGTTGGAAAAGTGAACTTAGAGAAGAATGTACATGAGAGACAAACTTTTTTTTTACTTGGGTCTATTGGACATTCATTCATGAAAGAGAAGTGTCATTGCTAAGCTCCATATTAAAATAATTGTATTAATAAAGTACAATATCTACATTTTTGACTTTTTTTTTGTTCCACCCCAAGCCCTGGATGAAGGACTATGATCTCAATTGAGAAGGTGCAGCACAGAGCACCAAGAATGTGGTTCTCCAGTCAGTGGGACTGTCTGAGGGCTGGGTGTCTGCCAACCTTAGACAGCAGTAGAGCACTAAATATTTTAACTCTAGAATCAAGGAATGCCCTGGTTAGGAAGGGATCTGAAAGACCATCTAGTGCCAGCCACTGGATCATGTTGTTCAAAACCCCACCCAGCCTGGCTTTTCAAGATCTCGTTCTCAGCACAAAGGACAGTAGAGTTGCCCTTTTGCTTGATTTTAATGAAAAGTCTTACTGTACAACAGACCTCTCAAACACCAAAAGGGAGGAAGGAACTAAAAAGAAATTACTAAGGCTGCAAAACAAGTGTTTCATAAAGTGGATGTTCATATAAAGTAAAATCAGCTATTAGGGTAGCAGAAAAGTCCTCAAAGATGTTACAACTTTCCTCCTTAAGTGGAAACTATACTCTTGTTAGCCATAAAATTAAAAGCTGCCTTGGATTTAGGGAAGGGAAGAGACAGTGAAAAGGAAAAACCTGTGAAGAACTCAAGCATGTGTTCGCTCAGACATCTTTAAAACTACATTGCACTTCTTCATCACTTCACAGTATTTGTACTTTGGATTTGACACTTCTTGGAGAAAATGGACAATAATTTGCACATGGACAATGATTACAGAGAATAGCAAAATTAGGAATATTAAAAAAACTTTGAAACACTGAAAAGGCAAATGATGAGATTTCTCATACCAAGGAACACGTAAGTGAACTAGACTCTGTTTTGAAAATAACAGCTTTCTACCATTTTAAAAAAATAGTAATCACATTTAGTATTTTAGAAATAAATTCTATAGAATATATTCTCTGAGTTAATTCTAGATTTTCAAGGTATTTTACATCAACTGTCCTGCAACCGTAATAAAGCAGATGACAGAATTACTCTTTAGTCTCAGCGGGAAAGCGAAACATCCCCAAATGCTTTAGGATTTTCCATAGCATCCTCTTCTGTTCCTGACTGTTTCAGGAATTAAAACAACTGCCACAATGAACACTGGTTTATAAAACTCACGAGCTGTAACAGTGCCCTTATTTAACAAATGCCTTTTAAAAGGGTGTCATGGGTCTGTCTTGCTTTATGTTTGAGTAGGAACACCTGCATTGCTACAGGAGCAGCCTAGACACGGAGTTTCAACTGAGAGAATTCAGCTGGCAAAAGAAGACAAGATGCAGAGGAGCAAGACTGCTTGTTGCTGCCAAGTATGGTGTTGCAGGAAAACTACAATCTTGCTGCTCAAATGTTAAGCACTAGACAGGCAGATGTTGTATATTCAACACAATTTTTAATCTAATTTTTCACTGTGAAATTTACTTGTTAACTTCTGCTAATTAATCCAGTCTAAGGAAAGGAGAGCTCATTTCAGCTGTTTTTCATGTTCATGAAAAATTTCTGGTCACTTCTGAGCTGGGCTGGGCTTAATTTGGAAAATGGCATTGTCTGCAGTACAAAAATTCAGTTATGATGCCAAAACATGAGAATAAAATGGTGTTTTACCTATTCTATACTACAGAATTATGTTTTATCACAGTATCTCCAAGTACATTACTAACCAGAGCACAGAGAACATGATGACACAACAGGACAAAGGCAAAGTCTCCTCTGTCTGAGCCCAGTACTCTCTATCCAGTGTAGCACATTTCTGTCAGGAACACCTGAACTAATAAAACCTTTTATACATGCTCAGTTTTGCATGTATATGTGTACAAATCTTTAACAAAGATTTGTGTACAACAAATATCTGTGTACAATCTTTAAACAAAGCAGCTGTGTTTGTGAAGGTATTGTCTGGGAGGCAGGGAAAGCAACATGATCAGTTTGTTAGCAGATTTACTGAAATTAAACAGCCAGATCAGGTCAGAAACCAGATCTGGCCTGGGATCAGTCAGCAATCTAGTGAGTAACAGCACCACTGATACCACACAGGAGTCCTGCAGCACTTGGACCAAAGGCAGGATCCCACTGTTAACAGAGCAGGGGAGCAGCTGAACCTTATCTATAGCAAGTGATAGTTACTATGGCGTGGGACCAATGGCCTTAAAATAAACAGATGTCAACTCCAATTATGATTCACTAGCAGGAACTTATGCAAATGAAAGATTGTAAAGCTTTACAAATCTAGTATTTTCTGATCTAAGTGGCATACAGCTCAACAAAGAATATTAGAAGCTCCTCCTGACCAGCTTTTAATTTTAAGGATGTTTCAATGGACATGAGTTATAGCTCTTAAGCAACAACTGCAATTGCTGTAATAGTGCCAACAAAATTCTAATTTCATGTCTAACATCAATTAAAGCTTTATATATATTTAACAATGCACCTTCTTCCAAGAGAGGTGAAGTTCACCTTATAGGCAAAAGGCCATTTGCTTTTTGGTGCTGTTCCAGTAATGGTCTCTGTGAAAATTCCAGTTTGTTTCAAGAGAGGGAAATGCCTTTGTTATTACTCATTTTTGTGAACAATGCAATATAATCACAAATATATACCGGGCTTCTTACAAGTGTTTACCAGTAGCCAGATATCTTGGAAATGGAGCTGATAAAGACTATCAGTAATATAGATATTTTCACAATAATACACTGTGTTGATACAGAAGCAAATACTGCTGGATATCATTGAGTAACATAATACTTTTATCACACAGAAACAGTCTACCCAAAATGAAAGGACTGGTTATCAACATGAATTTTTACCAGCTGGGAAATGAGACACAGCATGTTAATACATGTATATAGTAGCCCAGAAAAAACCACAAAAATATTTGCCATCCCATGACTTAAGCCTGCTTTTCCTTAAATGAAGAGTATGCTTTTTTGTTCTAAAGAATAAATCAAAGTTTAAACAAGTGATGGGAAACTTGACTCTCACCTGATTTCTACATCCTACTCTAGATCAGAAATCTGTGCCAATGGAAATCATAAATAACCATCACCTCAAGATTTAAAGCTAGCTGAGAAGTATTTTATAAAGTTGATCACTTACTGTGCTTGCTGATATTATTAAAGATATTTTTCATGTGAAAGCACAGGGGCCAAGAAAATAATATCTTATTGCTCAGTAAGGGCACGAATAACAAAGCAAAAGATCTAATTTAACTTTCCCCTGAGAGAAATACCCCAGTAAAGTGTGTGGCTCTCCAACACACTCTGAAGTTAAAGAGCCGCTACTGATCCTCATCTAATGTCCCAGCTCAAGCAGAAGAGATTTGTGCTTTTGCTGCTGGTGTTAAGGGAGTGCCTAATTTAAGCCTGCTGTTAAAGCAAGACCCCTATATATACAGACACTTGTTATATCTGCCCTTAGAATACCTTGAACAGAATAATTTATTCTTAAGTGCAGAACTTTAAGGACTAGCACATCTGTCTTTAAAAATCACGGGTATTTGCTGTATGGCATTGGAGAACACAGGCACTTACCTGGCTACTCAGCCTTAGAGAAAGAGCCTAGAGGGGTCTGTGACTGGAGGAACAGAGGCTGTGGAAGTGCTGAGCCAGATAACCAGCATGGGTGCGCTCTCCCAGGAGATGGAATACGTTGCAAGTTTGGAATCCAGTCCCTAGAGAACTAGACTTTTCAATGCAGTTCATATAAAACATGTAGGACTTCTTGTGGAAACAAGTAAATAAAAAAATCTTTCCAGCTACTACACGGAGTAAAAATATTTTGCTAATTTAGCATAAATACGAGGAATCACTTTGCCCAGATTTCATATAAAAACAATTAAGTTAGCTCTTTTTTTGAAAAGCATATTTTACATTGGCAGTTCTTCTACTGGAGTACTGTACATGATGTTTTAAAGAGCTTCTAACCAGAAGAACCACTGTTACAGAGAGAAAATTTACACTGTGTTTACATGCACACTGTTAACCACCTAGATTTGACACAGATAAAAACTAAGATGCTGATCTGTATTTTGACAAACAAGACAGGCCTACATTTCAACTACTTGATGTATAATAAATGAAATCTTAGTATTAGAAAAACAAAAATGCTGAAATAGATTTTGAAATCAAAATAAGGCAGTGCAGAATTACCAGTGCAGAGAAAAGCGGATTCCTATGCCTCCTTTTCTAAACAAAAGCAAGGTTGATTAATAAATTAAAGATAGTTTCATTCCCATTCCATTTAAATACAAGTGGATCACAATGTAATGGATATCCATATGATGCACGTGTTCTTTTGCTTGCAGACTTTTGCAGATACAAAATTTCTGAAGCTATTTTTTACTCACTGAACGTACTGTTTCCTAATAAGACCAAATGGTACTAAATTTGAGATACAATCAGAAGTTCACAAAAGCCAGTCCTGTATATCGTAAAAATTTAGGCAATCTAGACACTTCCACATTTTTTTCCCATGCTTTATTTAAACTTTGATCAGTAAGGCTCTGCTTTTATAAACTGCATACTGACACATTCATAAACTGGCTTGGGAGAAACGCAGAGGTTTGGTTACAGTGAATTTTAGGAGCTTACACTGCCTCAGGGTGTGGAGCTACAGCATTTCTCGAAGAGGTTCACAGTTCCCGCAGCTCGTACAGAACTGCAGAGTGGCACTAAAGTGCGTGAGGCTCTGAACGGTGCCTGGGCTGAAGGTGCTGTGTGAGCCTAAGCTACTGCTCTGCCATTATATACATGATCATTCTTCTTTGGGGAGGGGGTGCTAGTTCTGCAATGCCACTGATTTTAGTTTTAAATGGAGGATTGTCTACCTTTCTCTATTCTAGAAGATGTAAATGCCCCCTTTCTGACTCTTCTGTTTGTCAAGAACAGTAAAAGAGAAAAATAGTACACTCTAAAAATGTGTTTCAAGATGATTTATCAGAAATAGTATTAGGAAAAAATAAGGAAGAATACAAGGTACTCCAGATGAAAAGTGGCCATGCTCTTCGTAAGTAACTATGGATCTTCTGCTCAAATGAACATGCTGTTCATTTTTTATCAAAACATGAACCTTAAACTACCATAAATAAAATACAAACAGTACAGAACAATTAAAACTTTTTTTGTACAGTAGTTATTTTTACATTAAACTTACCATCTTTTCAGATATGTTGAAAATTAGGACTCTAAACATGATTATTTCAAAGTATCATTTTTAACAATCTTGCACAGGCCCGACAGTCAAAAACATGAAGTTTTGATTCAGATAGCTTGGCAGGTTTCACATACGTTCATAGGTAGGCTACCTTGAAATATGTTGGGTGTGTTTTTTACTTATCTGTTTATTTTTATCAAAAAAAGGGTTTGATTATTTTTATTTAAATCTTTACATGAACTGGTTTTGTGCAATACCACTGCCAGTGTAGCTTGAAAAAACAAAATGTGTCTGGAACATTGACTATAGTCCAAGCATTGTCTACCTCTTAAAAAAGTAAGTTTCTAGGAAAATCCAATGGGAGTGAATTTTAACACAGGAAGTCAGTCCTAGAATAATTTAATTTTAAACAGGCACCGTCTCTACCACTGGTGATTTGATGCACTCTTCGTGCAGTCTGCTCTTCTCTGGGAGGTTTAGTGAATTCTCAGCAGGGTGTTCCTGCACGTTACTGTCACCATTCAAAGCTGAGACAAAGCCATCTTGAGAAGGACCTTTCAAGTATGAGTGAAATTCCACTGGTGGGTGACTCGGCCTATGCTCAGTGTACAAACCGTTACAGGGAGCACTGCCATCCCCTTCCGAAGATGAGCAGCAAACAATCACTGAGGGGTTTGCAGAAGGGTAATGAGGGCTGCTATAAGTTTCCTCTGATGGCCGTGTGTAGTCAACAAACTGTTCTGAAGTCATGTTGTAAGGCACCAGAGAAAGACTACCATTCTTGACAGCATCCCTTTCTGAGTAAGTCTCACCAATCTGGTTAGCAGTGCCAGCAACGTGGTTCTCTATTTGGTAATACAGAGTTGAAGAGTTAGTATAGTATGAGGCATTTTTAGAGTGGTTTTCATGCACAGCAGTTCCATCAGAGTAGCAAAGGACAGAAGGAAGAGGCACCATATCAGCATGGGAGCTCATACTTTCTACAAAATCATCTGCTTTTTCTTCCTCCTCATCTTCCTCCTCATCTTCCTCTTCCTCTTCATCATCATCTGATTCACTAGGGGCTAAACTCTGTGTACTAGAATCTGTAACTCCACTACAAAAGCTACTCCCATCTTCCTCTTCCTCCTCTTCCCCTGGGCAGTCCAAGTCCTCGGCTGACTGGGAATGCATAACTGTAGCCGGGGGTTCGGTTTCAATCTCAAAATTTTCTGCAATCGAATATTCGACTGGATGGGGTCCTGGACTCATGGAGCTACTGTGTGCACTTATCTCAGTGTGACAGCCATTGAGTGCTGGAACTTGCTGCTCTCTATTTTTCTCCAATTCAAGTTTCATTATCGTGTGCAAAAAGTGAGTCCGAACACGGATAGGGTTAAATTCGATTCTACCTGCTGTATTGCTACACCCTTCTTTAGTGCAACCACATGGAAAAGACATACGATCCACCTTTTAAAAAAGAGAATACACATTAACAGTAGGAAGCAAAAGTCTGGTGACATGACAGAGCCTAGACAGCCTAGAGAAATACAAAGGTGAAGTGGGATTCACCTTGAGAAATGCTGGTAGAATAAGTCAAAGCTAACAATCATTCAGGGAGTCAGCCCTGGAGTTTAGCAGTACTGAGAGAACAGTAAGGGGCCTGGACATGCTCCACTATTGCAGAGAAGGGAAAATTGATTCTGTTCCTTAGGTAAAAGTATTACACAGTGGAACAAGAATAGGTAGCTTTTCAGTTTCTTGATCTGCTATAGCTTTACCTCATTTTGTGCTCAAATCCAGGTAAAAGCGTTTCCAGAAACACCTTAAAATTTGGTAAAAATCATGGAAACTAGACAACCATTGAAACAAAAGGAATGATGTACAGAAACCGTTATAAATTACCAATGGGGACACCGGATCTCAGAAAACAGGAACAAAAACTCAAGTGCATTTTCAAAGGTAATCCAGTCAATTCTAGATGTAATATTTTAAGGTCAACAGACCAGGAGCAGAACTTCTACACTTAATATCTTAAAATTTTGAATCTATGCGTTGGCAAGTTTGATTAGACAGCCTAAGGTCTGTGACTTTCACCTGCACTGTAACACCTAAACATCAAATATGCACAGGAGAACCACACAACACAATCCGAGTACATCTTCCCCACATGTGGAGATGAAAACAGGAACAGAAAAGAGACTATATTATTTTACATAGCAGAGAAAGTTTAGCTTGGCTTTATGAGATGGTAAAAAATGCATTCAGGAAGCAAACTCAGCTGCAATACAGCAATTCAGCAGAACTAGCAGAAATATCTTTTAGGGAACATTGTGGGACATGTACAGCTGACACTATGCAAATGTTCCTCTTCAGTCTGCAGAGGAAAAACCTGCTATATTAGCAGATACCTTTTTACTGCCCACATGCAAATTTATCATGCTCAGACTTGAAGTATCATGCATGTTACATAAAGGACAGCATCGCAGAATGTGATTTACTGTTTCCCATAGAGTTTGGACTATAATTCACATTTGGAGCGTCTGCTAACCTTTTCTAAAATAAAAGGTAATATCCCTTCTGAAATCTGCAGGCTACTTATTCTTCTGTTGTCTGCATCTGCCTATTTAGATAAAGGCCTAAAAGGAGTATGAGGAGCAGAATACTTGTGTAAGAACAAAAAAATCCCCTAAGCCATGTATGTGCCTAAAATCATACTGAAGATATTTTGGGAGATTGTACTGATTGCCCACTATATAACCTTAAAACAGGGCATTAACAAACAGGTTGGACATCCACAAGTGTTACTGCCTAATACTTAATTTCCAATAGCTGTAACTTCAAGAACCAAAAGTACACACACGTGCATGGACACACAACCTTCCCCCTCCCCACATGATAAAAATGACAATAATGTAGACATTTACCTGACATTTTATGCCTGCAAGACTGCAGGTGCAAGTTTCTGGGTCACAGAAGACGCGGCAGTCACAGCCACAGTCCTCCCTGGACAGGCGGATGGCTCGCAGCTCGTGCTTTTCCTCCACGTCGATCTTCTTCACTCCAGAAGCTCGCAGCAGCGCCCGCCGCTTTTTTGTAGGCAGGGGCTGGAGAAAGAAGTACTCATCTACTTCAGTGTTGTCCAGATCAATATCATCATCAGAAATGTCATCCAGAGTCAGTGTATTGGCTTCCTCTGATTCCACCGTACCGTTCTTGGTCATCTGTTGCACAGAACAATGAAGGAAGTCCTTAAATGACACTCACACGTACGTCATGTCATAGATGGCACTATGTGAAATGCATCATCAATTGACAGAAAGCTGTATGTAAAAATGTTGCATGACTGCCAGGAAGTTCCAGAAAATGATCACAGATAGGGTGACCAAGCATTTCTTTCACATTTAGAATATGAATTAAAACCACATTTTTAATACCAAGTTTGTAAGGAAGATAAGAAATTATCTGTTCTTTATTTACCTAAGTTTACTGTTTGTCATTAGCTGCTAGATCTCATGCCTTTCTGAAATCTAGTCTTTTCTGTATTGTTTCAAAAGATAATTTTTGAGACCTTAATTGAATTCTGTCTCTGAGCTCTCTGAAATTCTTAAATATACCTTTTGAGACAACAATGATACCACTGACACAGGCTCAGATCATGATGCATCACAGGTTTGTAAAATGGTATATTTTATGTACTACTCCACTTTCTTAATTTCACATTACACCGGTAAAAGAGAGGTAATAGCTCCCTAAACAGTTCTGCCTGGCCCTGGGACAATGGGGAGATTATTTACACCAGGTATTTCAACATATTAGTTCAGAAAAGTAGGAAAAGCAACATTAGAAGTCATCCTTTTTCCTGTACATTCTACAGAGAGAGAGGTAAATCCACACAGGGATTAAATGCGTCTTGAATTAGCTGCCTGAAGCTAATACCTCACCATACACACAACTCAGCCTGAATATTTCAGTCCAGAATGGCATTCTTGGTTATATCTTTTCATTTTACATTAGCAAGGTAGCACTAAGAAGAGTGTATTTATGTTTGACTTCTTTGTTTAATACACAACAGGGGAATGACCTATCTAAGAAATCTGATTTCTCTAGTTTTATATACACAAGGCTCAAACCATTCCTTAAGCAGATCACTGTTATTTAATCTAAGTTTGAAACTGTGGAGGGAGAAAAATTCTAATCCCTGCTCCTGTAATTAATTTACTATTTTATTCAATTACTGTTTAATAAAAATTATCTTTTAGGGCTCTTACCCCTGAGGTGAATGCTGTAACTGGCCAGCACACAAAGGCACCTACAGAACCATTCCAATCCTGACACATATTTCTCCTCCTCCTGCAAACCTTGACTGCTTTGCTGCACAGCAGTGCAGCATCAGGGACAGGCCTGCAGGGATGTGCTGAATGCCTCGTGCACCCTGCAGGCTGCAACATCCAACGTGTCCCACTAGACAGCAGCTTGCCTTTTCAAAGCACCTCAGCTCCTGACTCCTTTGCAGGATGAGTTCCTTCTTGTTGCCTCCAACTTTTTTTTTTCCTCCATTTTGCCACACAAAGAACAAATGAATTAATAAAAGCAAAGAGTCTAACATTTCTCAAAAAAGTAATTGGGCAACTACAGAGGGAGGAAGATTATAAAAAACTACCAAATACATTTTTCAGAACTCCAGGGGAACATTAAGCTCTCTTGACTGTCCTAATACTGCTCTTCTGAATTAAACTTGATAGTAGATGGGTAAATTTCTTCACAAATCTACAAGTAATGTCATGAGCACAGAACAAAGGCCAACAAATATGTGAAGCCTTTGGGTGAAATTGACTCCCACTCCGTAAAACAGGAAAAATGCAGGATGGACATCTCTGCCTTGCCCTAGCTGGGAGTTATTCCTTACAACTTCCCACAAAGGGAACCTACTGTGCCCACAGACCAGGCAGCCTTAACACCACTGGCCTCATGTTAAAAATGTTAATTTCAGGAGACATTATGGGTAAGCAATAAGGACTCTCTTAGGCAATTTTTTGTGCTTACTCATGCTTTCTCAAATTATTATCTTGTACCTTTCATTTCATAAGATGGCTTTTACATCCAGAATTTTCACACTCTGCTGCTAATAAGTGTTTATGCTCCTGTCAGCAGTGTTTTCATCAAAGTGCTGGTGCTAAACAGCCAAAGTGACTTGAAGATGATTTCACAGCCTTTACCTGGTTTTAGTTAGAGATGTTTCTTATTTGGACTTTTGCTTTTAGCAACAAAAACAGTATCTAATATTATGGAAACTCAATCTCAATGTATTCCTGTATTTTTATATTTTTTAACAGGCTCTACAGGAGTAAATAATTTCTACCCACCAATTTGTATATTTTCATGCAATTCAAAAAAAAAATCCCAGAGAAACTGAAATTAAAAACCCCAGCAAAAATGTTTCTTTCTGTTTACATAATGGTTTTCAAATAGAAAAACGTCTGACTAAACTTCATTCTACTCCATTTTCTTTATTTTTCTGTGATGTCATTTTTTAATGCAAATTGTGATTAGCACATTTTCATTAAATGAATAATAGTTTTGCTGACATAACTGCTAACACTGTCACCTTAGAATGCCACATTTCCTTTTTTATTCACTTAGAAACCATGTGAATGACCAAGCAGCTCTTCCATCTCTGTAATGAAAAGTCAGGAAGGCTCTGTTTTCTTAAGCAAACAAAACATGCTCAGTACTTTACAGTGACTCTTCACTGATTCAGCAAGTCCTGGATTTTCTTTTCATGTTTGAAATTTTCTTTTTTTTTTTTTTTTAACCCAAGCACATAATCAGGGATGCAACTAAACTGAGGTTAATGGACTAGTTAAACAGGAAGATTTTTGTTGCCAATGTTTTTATACATGCTCCAGATGAATAGGAATATTTCACTCTAGTAAAAAATTTAACACCAGTAAGATGAAAATAAGGAATGCAAATAAGGCTCTCCTTATTCACTGAATATTTATGAAGAGCTTTTGCAGAAACTTAACACTCTTAATAATCATCCACTCAAACAAGTGGCTGGGAAGATGGAAAAACATGTATTTGGAAAATAAGCAGAAAGTATGGTCTGTGTCCCCAAAACAGAGTGGGTGGAAATGAAACAAGTTAATTAAGAAAGGAGATGCATCCCAGCCAAGAGCAAGATTAGGAAAGGATGAAGAGCCAAGCTCCAGTGCATAAAGGCTAAAAGGCCTCATCTTCTCTTTCAAGGTAAATAAGATCTGTGATTTTTCTGGATTTATTTTCTTGCTAAGAAAAGAAAAGTGAAATATTTGCGTGCTTGACTATTCTTTCCTCACTCCACTGGGATTCCTCTCTTTGAGATGATTCCTGGAAGTCAGCCATGGGATCTACAGCTAGTCATCAGTTACACAGCACAATTCACACTTGATGCTCTGAAAATCCTGTGATGTGAGATGTTACAGGTATAACCTTTATCAAGGGATAAGTCACTAGCACTCTACTAGCCTTTGGTTTCCAACCTGTCGAAATATCTGTCTGTGATTCACCTTCATCCTGAGTACTTTTATGTTTGTTCTATGACAGCTCAAATTTTATGACCTTATGAATTTATTTAAGAATCTATTTAGTTATGAAAAAAACCCAAACAGTTAGGAGACTGAAAAAAGCTCAGTTACAATTCTAAATATTGTTCACTTTTAATTACAGAATTCATCTGAGAAAGAGTCAAAAATACATGCAATGCAATCCATGACAGAACAAACAGAAGTTAGAAGACTCATTCTCTTCCTGGCACTTCCAGATTTCAAGGCTAACTCCCACCCCTCTCTGCAGAAAACAGGGAGTAAAGGACAACCTCCCTGTAAGCACTTGGAGGAACACAGCAACGACAACTACAAGAGCACTTGGTATAATCAAACAAAAATGCATCTTCAGTAAAATGAGAAAACTCCAGGAAAACATCTATTTCCAACTGAAAATGGAGCTCATAGAAGGTGATTGTTTTGTTTAACACACACACCTTGGGCCCCTATAGCTCTGACATTGTTCAGTTAAACGAGGGCAGAGACAGAAGTCTTAGACAAGCTTTACCTTTAACTTCAGAGAATTGAGTTTTTCCTCCCTCAGGTGCTCTCTCAGCATCTCCCGGTGGAGCCTCTCCTGCTCCATGGCAAACTCGCCCAGGGTGTACTGGCGCACGCTGTTGTGCCGAGTGGACATTCCCAGCGTGCTCCCTCCCTGGCTGGGAACGCTGGTGAAGCCCTGCCTTCTGGTGAAGTAGTACACAGTGACACAGTTGAAGTGCACATTCTTGGCTCTCTTGCGCTTCTCCCTCTTCAGGATTGAAGACGCTGGAACAGAGGCAGATTTCAGTGAGAATGGTGACCTGCAGTCAGGCTGCAGACGTGTTCAGACAAAGGGAGCTGCACAAGTGACAATACCTGACTACACAGACACCGTATTCCCAGGTGAGAAGGACAAGAAGGTAATGTCAGAAATAGAAGCTACTACAAGCTGTTACAGTCATGAACACCATTGTCTATTTCAGAAGAGAAATACTTGGCCAGGAAAGTTTCTTTCCCATCACATCATAAAAATGTTTTATCCTTTTACCAAGAAAGCAACCAAATCCCAGCAAAAGAAACTTCTTTCAGTGTCACCACACAGATGGTGATCCAATGACTTGCACCTCCTCCAACCCCTGCCAACAAAGTTGCACATGGCAGGAGAGGTCCACATCACTACAGCACAGGGTCATGCTAACAAGAAAGATTAGAATATCCAATTACCTAATTTGTGAGAAATTGATGTTGGAGAAACTATAAAAGCAGTATGTTTAGTATTTCATACTGTCTCAAAAATTCATACTATCATCATCACCACTGACTGATACAGAAATAATTCTGACTAGCAGTCAGACCCACTTTGTTTTTCTTTACCTTCATCCCTCTTTCTGCTGCCATCCACTGAATACGTGTGTGTATATAGTCCAATGTGAAGAATTTTTATAAAAAATTAAATCTAGTATTTTCTTAACTCTCTTCTGATTCCACTTATACCTGTGCTCAGGTTTTTTAGTAAACGTATGCAGTAACATATGAAACGTGTTTAAAAAAAATGCCAGATTTTAACAATTAAATATTCTTCTTCTTTTGATTCTACAGACACCTGGCAACTCCTTCCCATGATCTAGTGTTTCTCACTGATAATAGCTGCATACCTTTAGAGAAATAAAAAAAGACACACAAACCTTAGAGAAAGGTAAGGGACACTCCTCGATTTTTAAGATGAGCAGTCCAATTTATTTGATTTGTTGCAAAACAGCAACAGGTTGTTGAGAATGCAGCTTGTAAGTCATTGCTTTGCAGCTTATAGGCAACAACTGCAGGTGTGTGCAGGTATGAATGAGAGGCCTCATTGCCAGAATTCAGGCAGTAAAATGATTTAAAGGGTGCCTGACCACTCTTGAATGGCTTGGAATCATTCTATAAAAGCAGTAAGAACAACAAGATGTAGACTGATAATCTAGAATTCCACCATTTCTAGAGATGGGACCCACTTGGCCTTCAGGTCTGGTTTCGTAACAGGCCTGGTTTCTTGTCACAGGTAAAACACAGTTACTGGCTGTGAACGTAAATCCACAAACTTCTACATGAAGTAAAAGTGTCAAAACACCCAGAATCATCTACCAAACTGTGGGAAAACCAAGTACATTAGAAAATAAAGCTCTGTATCCAAATTACAGACAGTGTGTCCTGCAGACATTATCACTGAACTTTGTGGCTCACTGAAACAGGATTACTTCTCCTAAATACTAATAAGCTGCTAAAAGTATGGTAAAGTATATGGTTTGCTATATAAGTAACAGACCTCCTGCAGGTGTGCTGGATTATAAATATAAAACAGATAAATATGATCAGGTTCTGTTACTCACATGCTGCTAGTAAAGTGTGTTACAAAAAAAAAGGTGTAGCATGTACAAAGGGAAATCAAAAGAAATTCTGTTACATTAAGCATGTTTAACTTGCATCCAAGTTGAAGCAAATCTCCTATCAACAGAGCTTGTCAAAAATATTTATAGGAAGCCTTCAGTGAGGGAAGAGGGTATTTCATTAGCAAACTAGTTGATAGAGATGTGTCAATTTTGCATGATATTAAATATGGTTTTAATGTGTTGTTCTTTTTCATACATACCACAGTTCCAAAACAAAACTGCCTTTAATAAAAACAATTTCTGAGCATTTGTAAGATGGGGTAATTTTCATGCTGAGACATTCTCTTTCAATGTAGCATAAAAGCAAATACACTAAATCAGAACCTGCACTGCCAATAAGCTCTAATACAAAAGAAAGTGCACATTAAAAAACCCTTTTTCTGCTGAATGAGGTATCTAAACCATTCTGGGGTGTATCCAATTTCTGATATCAGTATCAATGTTATTTGGATCTCAACTGGATGATGCCTCTATTTCAGAAGAAATACTGGCAGCTACTGAAAGGCAGGCAGTTTCTTTGCCAAATAAATGAACCAGTCACAAATGAAATGAGAAATAAAACTATTGCAAAATACTCAAAGAAAGAAAAGTTGCTCTTGAAAAAAAAATATACACATACATTTCATGAAGAAATTGAAGATAACTGCACCTGTAAATTTCACAAGTTAGAGAATCACACAAACCTTTGAATTCTCATCTGTAAAGCTGAGTATCTATGACACAAAGTCTGTGTTGATAGTAATCTGATTTAGATCTTTGCTCTGGAACTCCTGACAGGGCTGCTTTACTGGCAGGAATGACAAATGCGGCAATGAAAGCACTTCTGTTTTTTCAAGTCTCAATCTCTTTATGGTACAGATACTACTTTCATACTAATGGCTAAACATAAATAATGACCCTTAGGTTTTATTCACACACTACACGCTAACATTAATAGCTAAATGAAGCTAAGCAGAAGAGTATGTGATCTAGTTACTTCCAGATGAAAAAAAAAAAAAGAACGTCATCTCTGATAAAAACTACATACCATGAATGAGCTTTTACACTATGTGCATTTTTGCCCATGCGTGTGCATCAAAATTCAGAACATGAATTTCACGCACTGCCATACATTTATGCAAATACTTTGGTCAGCAATCTCTCAGTTAAGCCTGCAGATGTCATGGGCTGTCTTAAAGAACCCATTAATGCATATCTTCAATTTTTTATAGTTCTTATCAGTTTCAGTAATTGAATTGTCAATGCCACACCATCAAAGTTGTTTGTTTGTGGGGTTCTTTTGATATATCACCGATTAAAACTGTCAGAATTAAGATGAACTTCATGAAAATGTTGACACACAGTAACTTCAGTGTCACTGGCACTGTAAACTCAGCACTAGATTGAAGACGTGTATGAAGACAATGTGAGAGCTGACATGCATTTGTTGTAAATGCCATTAAAGTTTGTGCTGTTATTTATTAACATTGTTGTAATTCTGAGTCAGACAAATTATACAACAGTCTGTAATTAAACACGTGTGCAAACATTCAGAGCCCTCAGAATACACGGGGTTACTTTTTCTGGAACACACCCTATCTTTTGGTAGAGCTCATTAAAGGGCAGAGTTAAGGCCCTGTGAAGAACTCCACAGCCATCTCCTGAATGCTGCTGTCAGGAGGAGTTAGAATATATTCATATTTATGTGAATTTTGTTTACAAGAATAGATCTGGCAGGAGCTGCAGGAGTTTACAGGATTGTATTTGATTAGTCAAAATCACAGATTAGAATGTCAGCGAGGAGACATGAGAATTGTGACCACCTCAGCTACCAAGGACATGGAAAGAAGCACAGTCAGCACTGCAAAGCACTGTGTTCCTGCTGTATTACACTTCCTAAAAATCCCTGAGCAGAGGGCTGCCTTGATGTGAGCTCAAAAATACTATTAAATATTGAATGGAAATGTTGAACATTTTTCAATGTCAGGGACAAAGTGCTCTATAACTGATTCAAACCCTTTGCTTCAAACCAACCTAAACAGAATTACCACCTTATCAAGAGTCTGCGGCATTTGTTATTTTGCATGCACTGTACCTTACACAGTATGTTAAATCTGCTGGAATCACTGCTAAGGGCACTGTTTAACTCCAGACAGAGCAGAAGAACACAAAATATGTATGTTCTGATCTGTTAGAAAGCATGAATATACACCTAGCAACATTTACTGAAAATTTGAAAAAATCAGGTTTTATTATACTCAGTCATCATTTCTTTCTTGTATCTTGGTAACAGATGTCATCATTGGCCCATCCAACTCCCAAATACCATGAAAAAAATTTCCCCTTTCTAAAGGGGAAAATCAGTATTTCCACTAGCAATCCAACCTATGCTTAAAAGAATCACCCAAGTTTCATTTGTCTACGGATAAATTATAACTAATGCAACAGGAAAGCAAGAGCAGTAATATGCTGGCAGACTGGAGCAAAGCTTTCCTGACTTGCTCTCATATGTCCAAGGCACTATGCATCACCACTGTCCATTTGCCTGTCAACATCCTCATTTTCCAAGCTGGACCCTGGAGCTACAGCAGTGAGAAACCTGTGGAAGATGCAACCCTTCCTTCTGCATGTTTAGTGGCTGAAACAGAATCCAATCCTCCCCCTGAGAAAAGCACCCACTGAAGCTGTGCTCATCCATCAAATGCAAAATCTGCTTCCTATTCTTATACAATCCTGATAGGAATGACATTTTAAGCTCATCATGTTTTTCTAACATTTTTTACCCAGAAAACTGGTAGTTCTTTGATTACAAAACTTAAATGATCTCAGTTCTGGCTGAACTCCAAGACATAAGCACTTTCTTCTGCTGTCTCAGCTATTCTCCTGATGTCAAAGACACGTTAAAATAAATGTGAACCATATGGCTCCCCAGCAGATTACTCACACTCCTGCATCAATGAGGGCAAAGCAATGCATTGTCACCAGTGCAGAAATATCTTAGGCACGTGAAATTTCAAAAGGCTGGAAAAAACATGTGTGAAGCAGCCTTTTGGATTGAAGCTCTATCTTAGACCAGTGGAAACGCTACATTTCTTACACTCTACTACCAATTTGTCTGCTTTTTACATACTCAGTGTCATACAAACCATTATAGCAAGAAGAATTAGTACCATTTTCCACCTGCTCCATGACTTTCCATGCAGTGTTTCATCAAGTCTAACACCACAGAAAAGCAAAGCCTAATCCCTCCTGGTAATCCAGGTCAGAATGCTGCTTATAAAAGCCAGTTTGCTTCCCAACCCTCACAGAAAACAAAATCTAGGAAAAGGTTGTATCCAGAAATTGTTTCTACCTCTTTCTCTTACCTCTCCTTCTATC